AAACACCGATTGGGAGCTTCATATCAAGTCTGATTCGGACACATACCCTTCCGAATTCTCTTCTCCCCCATTTAAACATATTTCCATCTAACAGAATTGGTTTTCCGACCACAGAAGCAATTCTGCATATATTTATGTTATCCCAACTGTGCAATGGAAGATTTGGAAGTCTTATCCAAATAGGTGAAGTTAGACCTTTTAAGGATGTCGGAGAGAAGTTTTTGGACCACTTGTCCATGCCAATTATTTTGCCATTAATAAACCACAGTCCATTAGTAAGGACTGATTCCACATTTTGAGGTTCTTGGAAAGAACAAAGGATCCATCCCATGCTAAGCATGGTAAGATGAAACTTACCATATTGTGCCCATTGTCTTCTAAGCTCCGCACTGATGGTTGATAATGGAGCTTCTCCTCCAAATATTTTAATTACCAAAGAGTTATTGAGTCTCCTGGTATTCTCCATTTCGTTTCCTTCATGTAGCTTCACTGTAATTCCATCTTCAGCTATGAATTCTCCTACATCCAGTTCTGAAACCGGAATGTGTTCTCTCCTCCTCCAAACATTAGAAAGGTTAGCATCCGTGGAACGCTATGGTATCATATTTGTTTCCATACCACCGTTAATAACAACTCCACTCTACCTCCCTTACTTTAAGGAGATCAACATGCTTCTCAGATTCATGAGTAGTTTCTTCATCTTTTGAACCATCCTCCTGATTTCCCATTATTTCTTTAATAGGATTTAAAACTTCTTTTGTGATCTGCACTTCATTATCAAATTGTTCCTTAACACAACTCCCAACTGTAGGAATGATCTTCTGGATAGGCATCATATTTGAAGGAGAATCTTCAAAGTTCTCATTGATCAAAAATTCTGATCCATATTGGTTTTTCTTGTTTTTTTCTTGCATACAAACTAACTTTCCTTTCCCCAAAACTTCTGGTTCCTGGTTAGCAACAAATCCGCCTTCATTAATGACCAAGGTCATACCTCTAGATTTAGAACTGTTCACCTGCTTCAGATTTGTCTTTCCATCACCAAAAGCTGGTGGAGAAGACGAAAAACCTTTTGTCTCCGTCGAAGGATGCTTTGAATTTGTCCGGTGATCAAATTGAAAACTTCCGGCTAGGGGATTCTGGCGAGAATCCGCCGCCATCCTATTTCCGCCAAACCCGCGAAGAACAAAATTTGAAAAATCCCGTTCCTCCAACTTCGTTCTCTCAGACTCTCTCTCTCTAGAAAACTAGTACCCTTGGAAGAAGAGTTTGGACAAACAAAATATTGTTAGAATGTAGAAATTTTCATTGTGAAGGGTGCCATAAATTGATTGCATGAGCTTTGAGAATCCCAGGGACAGAAGTGCGTAAAATTGATATGTTTGAGCATTAATGTTGTTTGAATGCTTGTGTACCTTTAGAGTCAAGGGCTAAGACTTATATGCTTATGTAACACGAGCAATTTAATTCGAAATAAAATTTCAAACATATTTATCAAAAAATAAATGAAAATATTTTATCAATTATGATCATTATAAGACATAAATTCAATTTCTCAATGATAATAATACAAGAGCTATATTTGTCCTAATAAATTCGTTATGGAGAACAAATCAAAATTTCCTTAATTATTTTTTAAAAAATAATTAAACATGATATGATTGGAAACTCTTAATTAACTAAAATGAATTTTTATGTTCAACATATCCAAAAATAATATCCAATGCTTAATATATATTAATAGTAGTAAAAAGAGAATTTCTCATAATTTTCAAAATTAATTAACTAATTTTAATAATTGAAGAACATATAATTAAATCATACAAATATATAATTCTCCAAAAAAATTATGAAATATTTTAAGGAAAATCAATCTTTATTGCATGTCAAATTATTATCAAAACCAGAGTCCAATGAACCATACAAGTATATTGAAAATTTGAAATATGTAAATTTTAAGCATAGATAAGCATTATTAACAGTATGCTCCTTTTCAATCCAACTCATCCAAATGATACCTTGAGGCATAAACATACCCTATAAATTTGAGACTTTTGAAAAAGTCTAATTTCTTTATATAATTAAAACTAGATAAAAATAATAATTTTTATTTTTAAAAATTAAAATATTAAATATTTTAGAGTGGACATGTTTTTTTCATAAAATGTTTTTTACTGGACTTTTTAAAATTTCATAAAGATTGGATAATTGATCTGCTCTAACCAAAAATTCTAAATAAACCCAAGTAATTAGACGAGGTAGATTAATAATTGTTGCATCACAGTTGAATCGGATGGTCAGCATGAATTTCGACCCTGTGAGCCCAACTTGTTAAACTAGAACACAAAAACCCAGTCTACCCATTAGCTTATTAGGATTCTAAGGCTTAGATCTCCCTAAATACACGATGAAAGTGATCGATTTCTACTAGTAGAAATCGTTAAGTACACTGAGTTCTACAAAAGGGTGTAATGGAATTGCATGGTTGTGCACTAGATTCTACCCAAGACCACCACGCAAGGGCGGCTATAAGGTTTGAAGCTATACCATATGTGGTTGCTTTCACTGCAATAAGCTAAGAAATACTTTACCCTCATTTCTAAGTAACCATGGCATCATACACATGAAGTTTCTTGTCCTTACACTCCATAACAAAATGATGCTGTGAAGAGAAAGCATCGCCAACTCATTGAAACCTCTCGTACTCTGTTACACTTTGCCTCCCTCCCTAATAACTTATGGTCAGAAGAATTTTTCACAGCCTCTTTTCTCATTAACAAGCTGCTCTCCCGAACAACAAACTCCAAATCTCCTATTCAACTTCAATACAACACCAAGCCAGATTATTCCATTTTGAAGACGTTCAGCTGTGCCTGTTTTCTGTGGATGCCACCAAATCAGCATCACAAGCTTGCTCCCTAATCAGTTACTCATCTACCTCCAAGGGCTACAAATGTCTTAATCCTCATACTCATCGCATCTATGTTTCTTGTCATATAACATTTGATGAGAGTAGCTGTAGCATTCCATTTAAAACATCACCTCCAGCCCAACATCTACAGCACCCACAAAACCAGCCTTCCTCCACTCCAGGCCTGCTCCTTCCGACAGCCCAGGCTCCTCTTCAAACTATTCCCACATTACCCATTACTCCACCTACACTAACCCCCACATTACCCTATTCAGACAACACTTCCCCTAGAGTTCCGGCGCCCACTATCTCGGCTGCTCATCAATCTCCAACGCTAACATCCCCTGTATCCTCTAAATCGCAACCTCCTCCTCATCCAATGGTCTCCAGGCTTAAAATTGGCTCCCTCAAACCATGTCAGCTGCTAAATTTTCTCTGCTTCCACAATGCTGATCACACCTCCATTCAAACAGACCCAACATCTTATACCAAAGCAGTGCAATATGCTCACTAGCACGAAGCTATGGCTGCTTAGTTCTTAGCCCTTCAACAGCAAGGTACCTGGCTACTTGTCCCGCCCCCCTCCAATACACCAATTCAAGGCTGCAAATGGCCATTATGCACCAAATTCCACTCCAAGGGCTCCATAGCGAATTTAGAGCCAAACTTATCGCCCAAGGAAATCATCAGGAATATGGCATCAACTACTCTGAGACATTCAACCCAATTGCAAAATTTCCCACCATTCGCACTCTCATTACCATAGCTCTCTTCCATAGCTGGCCCATTCATCAACTAGATGTTGCCAATGCTTTCCTTCATGGCAATCTCGATGAGGCAATATATATGACCCAACCCAAAGGTTTTGAGGACAATCTTCACCCCAATCATGTGTCTCCTCCGCAAAGCTATCTATGACCTCAAGCACGAACCGTGCCAATGGTTTACAATGTTCTCTAGCCACCTTAAGACACTTGGGTTTCAACATGGCAAAGCCAACTCATCCCATCTCACATTCCACAAAGATGACATTCCACTATACCTCCTCATCTACATTGATGACATTCTCCTCATTAGTAACAATCCCACTATGAAATCTCACATTCTTAACCAGCTCAATCAACAGTTCGCTATGAAGCATCTCGGGACAATTACTAATTTACTGGGCATTTGTATTACCCAATCGGCCAATTCCTATTTCATGTCTCAATCCTCATACGCCTCCTCTATCTTACAAAGCGTCAGTCTTCTCCACTGCAAACGCCTCTCCAACCCAACCTTCACAAAAATCCCATCTCAAACCCACACCGACCCTTTGCTCTCTAACCCTCAATCCTATCGACAAATCACTGGCTCATTATAGTACCTGATGATAACCAGGCCAGATATTGCTTACACAATAAATTTGTTTTGCCAGCATATGCATAATCCATAATTCGATCATGTCTACATGCTCAAGAAACTGCTGAGGTACATCAAAGGGACTCTACACTATGGACTTCCAATGTCCAAATGACGACTTATTCTTCGGTCCTCCGACACCGACTGGGCCAACGACAAGCCAACTCGTCGCTCCACATCAGGATACTGCACATTTATGGGCCATTCTCTTCTCTCTTGGAGTGTAAAAAAAGCAACACACAGTTGCTCGTTCCTCAACTGAGGCGGAATATAGGGCACTAGCGGCAGTTACTGCATACATTATCTGGCTTCGAAAACTACTCAAATACTTTCAGATTCATCTTTCACAACCAACTAAACTCTGGTGCGTCAATACTTCAACCATAGCCCTTGCCAACAATCAGGTGTTTCACGCCCGAACCAAACACATCGAGATAGATCAACACTTCATCCGGGAGGACCACATCCACTCTAACACAATCTGCATCACTCTGGTCACTACACAAGATCAGCTTGCCGATATTCTCACAAAGCCGCTCTTTCACTCCTAAATTTTAACAGTTGTGAAACAAGCTTCCATCCTGGACCGTCAGCTTAAGGGGGAGTAATAACAACACTATGCTCATGGAAATTCTCTCCTCCATCATATTCTAACGGCATAAACCTATCACACACTTACATGTATACATCTACAATATTCTTGCTCACACTTATATATACTCTCTGTACTAAGCAGTACAGATAGGGAAAAACATTTTGCAAAAGCTGCTATTGATACTTCTACAATGCATAAATACCGTTAAACTACTGTTGTTGTATTGCTAGAATATTAGAGCTGAAACTGAAAAAGCAAACCATAAAGCACTCTTTTCTGCAGAGATTCGCCTATGTAGTAAACTGGCGTCAACTTGTCATCAAGTCATGAACTATATAAGCTGCAAATCATGGAGAAGATTGAAAATGGTTCATCGTGGTAAACAATGCTCATTTGTAACAAAAATTGCACATAAATTTCTCCAGTAAAATTCTAGCTCCAAAATACAAATCTTATATGCTATAACTGTCATTTCACACATTCCACCTGAATAGTGAAATCCTTGACACCAGCTTCATGAAATAAGTCAGAAGCTCTTTTCTTAATCAGAACTTTATTAGTTTCGGAAGACACATGAAGATGCACAGTTCCCATAATCTCGGTATTACTAAAGCTCCACACATGAAAATTCCGAACATCACAAACACCCTCAATCCTCATGAGACTATCACGAGTAACTCTGAGATTCTGCTCGTGAGTCCTAGGAACTCTCTGCAGCAATATCTCGGCAGAGTTTCTCAAAAGAGGAACAACAGAAGAAATAATCATTACTGAGATAAATATGGAGCAAGCTGGATCTGCAACTAACCAGCCTCTGTACTTAATTAGAAGGGTTGAAATGACAACACCAACACTTCCCATAGTGTCCGCCAAAACATGCAAAAAGATGCCTTCCATATTGTGGTCAATGTGATAGTGCATTTTCAAACCCTCTTCTTTGATTCCAATCAATAGGTTTGGATATTCATGGCTGTGTTTACTAGAATCAAGATGATTTTGATCTCCAACATGATGCATCTGATATTGATGATCATGTTCCTGATGGTTACAAGGCTGATAATGATCCTGGTGGCAGAGATTGTGATTATTTTTATCTTCATGTGTGTGATGATCACAGTTAACAATTTCACTGTGATGATGATAATGATGATGGGAATGAGACAGAGAATACTCATCGTTACCAATACGAGAATGCTCAGGTGAAATGAAATGAAAGTGAGCATTGGATTTTGAATCAGACGGAGAGTGTTCATTTTTGCTGGAGTAATGATCATGAACACCATGAGAATCCCCATGGGAATGGGAGTGTGAAACCGAATGAGATTGAGTATTGGAGTTCGAATGAGAATGCAAATCACAGCAAGAATGGGAATGAGCATGAAGGCAAGGACCACCCCCACCATGCACACGATGATGCTCCTCATGAAAGAAGGCTAGTCCAATGATATTCACCACCAGTCCCCCAATGGAAACAGCCAACAAACTGCTGGTGGAAATCTCTTGGGGATCAAGAATCCGCTCCATTGACTCCAAAACAATAAGCGCACCAACCAAAACTAAAAAAACTGCATTAGTATAGCCTGATAGCACCTCAAATCTGCCCCGACCATAATTGAACTGATTGTTTGCTGGTAGAGCCGAGATGTAGGAAGCATACAACCCAATGGCCAGAGCAGCACAATCAAAAAGCATGTGGCAAGCATCCGATATCAAACCAAGGCTGTTGCTTATGAACCCAGCAATAAATTCAACAACCATGTATCCAGTGTTAATCAATAAGAAAAGAGCAATCTTTCTAGTTTTCCTCTCACTCAGAATGTGCCTAACCGGATTCATAACCAATGCATAAATATTTTCAGTGGAATTCAAGTTTCCAAGCTCAACATATTGAAAAGATGAAGAACCCAATTCCCAAAGTGAAACCCATAACAAGAATCCACAGATCAGAAAACCCGGTAAAGAAAGCTTGGGGTAGTAAACAAGCTCCAACACAAGTGTGCAGAAAAACGTCACAAAAAACTCTCGCTGAAAACCCTTCCCAGTGATTCCAAACTTCTCATCACCACTAAAATTCTCATTCAATAATACCCCGAATATAACAGTATTAATTAAAGGCCACCCCATATCGGCCACAGAAACAGAACTACCCCCATTCTCTCCGTCTCCATGCACAAATAAACTAATGCATGCAGGAAAAAACAGGATTACCGTAGTAAGGGCGAGGGAAGCCAGCCGAGTCCTCTTCTTACCAAGTTGTCTAAAAACTCCAGAATTTCCAGCAGCGCGCTCGTGGAACCCTAGAAAACCAGAGAGGAAGGTGAGTACTACGGAGACTACACGGTTGCAGCCCTCCGCCGGAGGAGAAAAAGAAGGAGAAAGAGGAAAGCAGTCGTTCCGATCCCAGCTGTATGAGAGAAGAATAAGCGCGACCATCAGCGTGATAAACCCAATGATCCGGTGTCGACGACGGTTGCGAAGGACGTGTTCGGAGAGTGATCGGGCGGCGATGGCGCCGGATAGGTCGGCAAAGATGGATGCGGCGGCGCTGCAGTAGCGGAGGGAGTGGAAACGGAGGAGGAAGACAAGGGTAAGGAGGGATGATTTAGCGACGAGGGAGCGGAGGGGAAGATTTAGTGTTAGGGTTTGAGGGAGGGAGAATGGGATGGAGAGGAGGAAGGATAGGAGAGAGACGAGGAAGGAGAAAGGGAAGAGGGAGAAGGCAGGTGGGGTAGAGCGGAGGAAGGGGAGGAGAGAATAGAGGGAGCGGAGGGAGAAGAGTAGGAGAAAGAGAGATGAGAAGGAAGAGGAGGAGGAAGGGAGGCGGCGTTTCTTTGAGGGGGTTGAGGCGGAATAGGGAGGCGAGAAGGGGAAGGGGGAGGACGGGGGTATAGCACCGGCCGCAGCAGCAGGGGTGAGTGAAGGGTGAAGACGGGAAAAGGAAAGGGGAGGGCTAATAGGGACGGAGAGGCGGAGTTGAGAGGATAGGCGTCGGTGATCGGATTGGATGGCCATGGTGGCAGGGCACCAGGGCGGCGGCGCGAAGATTTCGGATGGCGTAGACTCGGAGCACCCGATGTAAGATTTGAAGTGAGTACTTGCCGTGGGAGGGCAAACAAAGAGTTTAGATTAATTAAAATATTAAAAGGATTTTTTTTTTTTTGGGAAAAATTGGGGCAAAGCCCTTATATTAATCATCAAAGATTATAAGTAAAGAACGTACAGGAAAAGAAAACTATACCACCCCAAAAGAAAAGAAAAGCTTGCAGATAATACAGACTCAGGAAAATAGATTTACATCCAAAAGGCATCAAAGCCTAAATCATTACAGCAAAAACCCGAATCCCACATAGACACCGGTTGCCAACGAAACGAACAGAAAGACCATCACAGTGACCAAAACGCATCCTGGTTGCCAAATGACCGTCCAAGGATGCATATAAGATGTAAATCAGACACATCATCGTCCATATCTGCAAGCCACCTTTCTGAGCCACAGTGTGCCGAGACCGGAAGAAGAAACCACCAGTCGTCCAGAAAATATAATAAGCAGAAAGGTGCCAAAAATTCCACGCAATGATCCTCCCAGATAGATCAGAGTGAAGAGGCAAGGGATCCAAAATCTCCAAAAGAAGCAAAAACCAATCAGACTTACAGAAAAACTTCAGCCAAAGAGACGGGCAAAACAATCCGTCATCCCAGTAATTCTTTAAAATTATCTTTAAGGATATCATAATGTCTCCAGTTCCTGGCTTTAGCAACAATAGCCAATTTAATAACTCTTTTGAGCTCATGGGGGCTTCTCCAAGCATCAGAAAATCGCCTATTATTTCTTTCTCTGCACAAGTGATACACCATAAACGCCACAGTAAGATAAAAAAAAATTTTATCAGCTCTAGTATAGTTGCGGTAACTTTCAAAGTAATCATAAATTTGTATCAGATTCGGCCTCAAATAAAATTTCACCATATCAGGGAAAAGATCAGTAAGAAGCGAGAAGGAATAATCACATTCAAAATAGACATGTGAATGAGATTCAAAATTGCCAAGACAAAAAGAGCAATAGGGGTTCGCAGGTATACCCCTAAAATTCAAAATATCAGCCATTTTAAGTTTCTGTTTAATCGCCATCCACGAGAAAGATGCATAACGTAATGCAAAGCCTTTATGCCAAATGTATTTAAACCAGTTGACATCATCTAGATGGGAGTGGAAATAATCAGAAAAAATCTTGTTAGAAGGCTTAGCAGATGAGGCCGAATCCCAGGATAACACAGTACCTTTTCAACAATAACAGAATTACAGATATTAGCCTTAACATGACATGGGATAAAATCAGGCAAATTCCAACCAAACTCAGAAATAAAATTCCCCACCGGAAGGTTAGAATTCCAGTTAAAGTCAAGGAGTTCAGCCACCGCTTTTTTGTTACACCAGGGATCCCAAAGGAACGACAACTTGCAATTTCGGTGAACAGAAAATGAAACAACAGGTTTAATAAGAGCAGCAGTTTTACAGATAAGTTTCCAAAACTTAGATGCAGCGGCTGGGGGAAATCTCCAAGGTGAATCAAACTTCATTCTATACCAGTTACCAATAAACGTGTCTTGATTATACATTCTAAAAATGAAGGAGCAAGCTATATTGTGATAGAGAGAGTCGAAAGACGGTAAGCCGAGCCCCCCTTTCTTTTTAGGTAAAGTAACTGAATGCCAGGAGATAAGATGCATTTTCTTATCCGTAATATTGCCAAAGAAGAGAAACTTGAAGCAAATTCTAGAAAGAAATTTACAACAAGCTTTAGGTAAAATTGCTCCACGAATCCAATACGCAATAGTGCTAGCAATTGTGAATTTGAGGTATTGAACTCTACCTGCAAAAGAAAGAAATTTGACTTTCCAATCCTCAAGAAGAGTAGAAATTCTACTGAGTAGGGGTTGGAAGTGAGATAAATTGAGTCTTTTAGTGGAAATAGGGATCCCTAGATAAATGAGGTTGCAATGAACTTGAGAGATCCCAAGGACACCCGAAATTTCCTGAGCCACAAGAGAGTTCTTAGAAAAAAGAATGCTGCTTTTTGACGGATTGATAATAAGCCCAGAAGCCATAGAAAAGTTCCCAAGCACCTCATTAAGGGATCTGGCATTCCCCACATTGGCTACACCAAACACCAATAAATCATCCGCATACATGAGGTGGCTAATATTAAAATTGAGATGCCTCAAACCCAAGAAAGGGTTGGTCTCCATGTAATCCAAGCTAGAAGATAGCCCATCCATAACAATGCAGAAAAGAAGAGGAGAAAGAGGACAACCTTGCCTCAGGCCAGACGTAGATTTAAAGAACCCCTCTAACGAGCCATTTAAACAGATGGAGAAATGAACATCAGAAATGCAGGCATTAATCCAGGAAATGAAAACTTCAGGGAATCCTTTCTGTCTAAGTCTACCAATCAGGAAAGAACGGGAGACAGAGTCGAAAGCCTTCTTTATATCAAATTTAGCACATAAAAGATTATTGGAATCTTTAAACTCCCTCAACAGCTCAGAAGCAAGGATAATGTTATCAGCAGAGCATCTATTGGCAATGAAACCGGATTGGCTCTCATGAATGATGAGAGGCATGATATCTTTCATCCTGTTAGCTAAAATCTTTGCTACAATCTTATAGAAAACATTGCATAATGAGATGGGACGAAAGTCAGAGATAGAGTTGGAATGAGTACCCTTCGGAATAAGAGTGATAGCAGTAGCCTTTGCCCCTCTCGGAAGAAGCCCAGAGGAGAAGAAAAATTTCACAGCTTTGCAAAGAAGGAAACCAGATAAATGTCAAGTTTTCTGATAAAAGCCAAATGAGAAGCCGTCAGGTCCCGGAGCAGAGGAAGGAACCCCCTCAAAAACAACCCCTTTAATTTCTGCATTAGTAACTGGCGTCACAAGTCCTGACAAAAGATGAGAAGGCAAAGAATTGCCCACAGGGATATTATGAGAGTTTTCAAGTATAGGAGTTGATGCATTGAAGATAGCCTTAAAGTGATTGATGAGAGCTTTTGCTATGTCACTGTGAGATGTAAGCAACCCAGAAGGAGTGGAGAGTTCCTTGATAACATTCCTGTTTTTCCTCGAATTAATCCTAGCATAGAGAAAACCAAGGTCATCCTCCCCTTGAGCAAGCCAGTAGGCTTTAGCACGCTGAGAAATCCAAAAGTGCCAAGCAGACTGAAGTAAAGCCAAATTGTCACTAGTAATCTTAAGTTGGGATTTTAGAGCCAAGTTTAGGGGATCCCTTTGAAGATTGGAGAGGCATGAAGCATAAGAATTCTTGAGCTCAAGGATACTGTTTGAGAGAAAATTGGAAGAGTTCCAATTCTGCCTATGAATGTGCTTTTTAAGAAATCTCAGGCAATCTAAAAAATTAGCAATCGAACTAGCAGTCAAAGGCCTATCAAAAGCCCTTTGGGTTAGCTCCCAGAAATCATCAAAATTGGTCCAAAAGTCCTTGAACATGAACCTGGAAATAGATTTATTGAGAGGAGCTGCATTGAGAATCAAAGGGGCATGATCAGAACCAGAGAAGGAGTCCACTTTATAAAAGGCCGTGGGAAAAGATTCCAAAAAGGCAGAATTAACCAACATTCTGTCCAACTTAATATGTATCGGATTATCCGACCTTTGATTGAACCAAGTGAAATGAAGACCTATAGAAGCAAGGTCCTGAACACCAGCATCAAAAAAAAAATTATTGAGCTCACCTAATCTGTCATTAGACACCAGATTGCCACCAACTTTATCATCATTAAATCGAAAACAATTCAAGTCCCCCAAAATGATCCACGGGGAGCTTAAATTGGAAGAAAGATCGAGGAGATCTTTCCAAAGCACTTTCCGTTCATCCACAGTGTTAGCAGCATAGACAACAGACATGTAAAAAGGGGGAATCGAGCCAAAACTAACCAGACCATGAATGATTTGGGATGAGGAGAAGGATGGGATGAAAGACATCTGAGTAGCATCCCATTTGACCCATATTCTACCCGGAGTAGAATGGATAAAATTATCACAGCTCTTTTCATTCTCAAACAAGGAGTGAGAGAATAAAAACCATGGATCAGCGACCGCCGAGGAAGAAACCTTAGCTTCCAAGACACAAAGAAGCTTAATGTTGTGGACATCAATGAGATCTTTGCAAAGCTTGACTTTATTAGGATTATTAAATCCCCGGACATTTCAGGCAGCTAAAGGAGGCATGAACATGGCTATTTGTGGGGTTTGGCCTTCTTGGCCGGTTTGGCTTTAGATTTCCCTTTCTTTGAAGGCGACTTGGATTGAACAGACACCTTGGAAGTGGTGGAAGATGACGGGGAAGCCATATGAGCAGAAGTTTTGGGTAGTAACACCTCAGCAATTTTGGCAGTAGAAATTGAATCCTCAACAATAATAGATATTTCATTATGATTATCAACAGCTCCTCAACAGGTGTAACTTCCACAACAGGCTCCTCAACAAGCAGCGAAGCGAAGCTATTGACCAGAATAACCTGAGTCGGCATTAAAGTGTGAGGGTCACTGTGAAATGTTGAAGATGAAGAGGCTGTCTGAGGGAAGTTGAGGTTGAGAAGAGGAAAATTTGAAATCAATGAGTTTGACGGGTTAGAACCAACATCAGGAGAATTGGTTCTATCCAAATTTTTGGGGGGAACCACATTTTCGGCAGTAGCTAAAAGTTCTGAAGTGTTGGGGGCGGTAGAGGCAGGCGGCATTGACGGGATGGTGGGAGGGGGCATTGGCGGGTTGAAAGAAGGGTTGCTGGGACCAACGGGTCTGCCACGAGACTGTGGCCGGGGGAGTTAAGAGGGGTTTCTGCTTTTGCTTCTTCACCTAAAAACCGGTTTTGGCGGAAGCGTGGGTTTTGGATCAGGATTTTTAGGGCAGAGGGCAAAAGGATGCACGAGAGATCCACAACCATCGCATTTCGTGGGCTTCCAATCATAAACGACAGTAAGATTTAAATCCACACCATCAATTTCCATCGGAATAACATCCGGTAATTCCGAGTTTTTGTCCACTTTGACACAAATACGGGCAAATGTGAGCCTAGTTCTCTTAGCGGT